ACAGCAGTCAAGATGCTCAAGGTAATGCAGGAAAAGGAGTGTTTGCTTCCCACAGGAAAATGGGTACGGGAAGTTGTAAAGATTATCTTTTGATATCTCAAAGAACCCCTTTTTACTTCAAAGCAGCTGAAAGTGAGAAGGGCAAGATGAGGCTTGGGCTTGCAAAGGCTGACAACCGTCAGATCCTGCCCCACTTTTTGCTCTCTCAACAATGGATTTCTCTACATGGTAGTTTACAGAAAACTTCCTGGGACAACATCCTCAGCTAAGAATTGGGACAAGCTATATTTTTCAAAAATGGCACTGCTACGGCACAGTTCAGAAAGCTTCTTGTCAATTTACCTTTATTTCTGCTATTTGCATGAATGACTGGGGAGACCTAACAGCCCCACCTACCGCCTCTCTTTTGAAAAGCAGCTCTTCCTAACAGGCTAGGCTATCTCATTTTAAACAGCTATAGAACATTGAGCACATAAAAAAAGATACTACAGACTTCTTAGTAATTAAAAAAAAATCAGAAGCCATTACAGATTTTCAGCCTGTTTGGGTTTTTTGGTTTGGTTTTATTTTGGGGGTTCTCCCCCCCCCCGTACTGGTTCTAACACTGGTGCAAAGAAGCAAGTATTTTCTCTCCAGCAGCCTTCTCCCCATTTTTGCTTGCTACTAACCCTTGATTTCTTTGCCAACAGGGATCTGCTCCCATTTTTCTCAAATCTCTTTTCTACGTGGCCCCACCTCCACCCCCTTAAATCTGCAGAGGCTGTGCCATCATCTCTCCCTGATTGCCATTTCAGCACTTTCTTTCTTAAAAATCAGCAAAGGGTTGAAGAAGAAAGAAAGAAAAGGTGTATCCTTTTCTTTCCTCCATCTTTCTTGTTTTTGAAAGGAGCTACAGCATCATCAAGAGCCATCCAGCTACCCCAATTATCACATTAAACCAGCAGGCATATAAAAATGCCTTGGGTATGGGTATTCATCTCCCTCCTAATACTATGTCTCATTTCCTCTAAATCTTAAAAGTTTTATAAATGTATATACAAAGGCTTGCATCTCATCATGAGGCAGGCAGGTAAAACCTCAAGTCTGGAGGTAAAGATTAAGAAACTCACTTTAGATCAAGCTACAAGCCAGCAGCACAGGCACAAACTGGTAATCCTATCATTTCCTTGACCTCCAACCCAGTACCACATTTTTTTTCCACCTGGAGAAACATCCTTTTCACACCAACATTCTGCTCCTAAAAACAGAATCTACTTATAAGTTTCAGCCTCTCCTTATAATCTCTATTTTGATTGTGTAAGAAGTCTCAATGGAACACAAAACCTGCAATTTACCCTATTAACCCAAACATCTTAACAATCCCTCCCACATTCTCAAGAAAATGGTCTGTAGGAGGAAAGCTTGCCTTGCAGTCAGATGCACAAGAGCATTAAGCTCTCAAGCTGGGTATGATTTCCAGAATTTTTCCCTGAAAACCAACCCCACCCATTTCAATCTAAAAGACACAGCCTCAGACAATGCTGGGTGTGCATGGAACACTTCCTAACCCATGAGAGCATCTATTGCAAAATAAGTATAGTATATATAAGGGGAAGAGCAGACGTTTAAACATCTTCAAGATGACCAGTTGAAATGCAGTTTTCATTCAAAGCTACTACAGTCAATGTAAGTACAATCTTCCAATAACTATTTAATAGATTTATGAAATGAAAAGGAAAAAATAATCATAAACTTAACTGCATAAAACAGACTGGGAGAGGTAGAAGGGTGGCATCAAAGTAAAAGCTCTATGATAAAAATCAAACTAACTGTGTGTCACGCCAGCCAAGCAGAAACTGCTGCATCTGCTTCAGAAAGACGCTGTGTGGAACAGATTCTTAGCAATTTATAGAGGGAACGGAACGCTCACCTCAACTTTGAGCTGTGGCATCCCTGCATTACTTAAGCTAGGCTTTATGCTGGCATTCACACAGTAGCTTCCTCCCCTCCCCATCACATGCAAACGTATTTCCTCCTGCGTTCCTTGAATCTGTAATCCACCTTTAGCAGCTGTTCTAACAAAACCATTCACTGTGCTACTTTTCTACTTTGCATCATATGCAAATATGTTTTATTGACATAACAGGATATTCAGCCAATCAGATCAGCTGTCTAGAGAGATCTGGAAATCTTCTCTGAAGACCACTCTTTTTCCCTTGAAGGGGTCTTCTCTTCACAGAGAGCCTTAGAGACCTGCCTCCAGGAATGGAGGATTGGTCTCCATTGTCCATTACTCCTCGTCCTGTCTTCAACACCCAAAAGCAGGAGAAAAATGGACTAGTCTCTTTTTCTTTTTCATCATGATGTATTTTCCCCTAAGCTGAAACAAGAAACCAGTTATTAGGAGATACTAATTCATTTATGTATTATTGATAAATGTGTAACATAAAAGATATCTAGTACGCAAAAAGATCATTCCGTATCCTTTCTATTCAGAATGCAACTACTCAACGCCTTTGTAAATTAAAAAGACTACGTTGTTTCTTCCCTATGGGAATAACGAATGGAATCCCAGATGGTTTGTAGCATTAGGAATCAATGTGATCTAGCTATCTCAACTGCACGACTTGTGATCTGATGTTGTAGCACACTCCCTATAGTGCAATCTGGGAAAGAAGTTAGTGGAACAATTATTACCATCAGCCCCTCCCAGAATCGCCTCTTTTTTAGACCTCGGCTCAGACTCTCGACCTCAGTTACAGCGCTATGCAGCTAACACAACTCCATGGATTTCAGCAGTTAATAGAGAGGTAAAACCTAATCTTAGTTTTAGCGTACCTCTAGGCACGTTTAATCCCTACAGCTCAGATAATGATAATAAAAATCTCATGGAAGTGAGAAGGAAAGAGCAAAGAGACTGACAGCCATGATTGCTATGGGAAATGGAGAACTAGGAAAAATATAGCTCGAAGCAGTCACCTCACTACAAATAACACTGCACCTTCGCGTTTATCATTAATGCACATCCCTTAATACTTGTTTGCAGAACAGTGTTATTCAAGTTGGAAAAGGTATTTTGCTTTCCTTTTTATCATAAATTAGCTAAGGCTTGAAACTGAGTACACACTTCCAATAAACCAATTGTCTCTACCATTACAGCAGTTTCTAGAATGCTATTTTGGAGGCCACACCTCAAAACGCTGAAGACCTAAGAACAGTTGGCAGATGCTCTTAAGTTATGTCCTTTAGGGGATACCTCAAGGCAGATCTGAATTATAAAGTCAATCTTAGTTAGCAGACCAGTTAAGCAGCTAACGAAGGTCGTCCGGCATATGAC